TATAAGAAACAATAAATAATAAAATAATTATAACCAATTAAAAATGTATTACATTTAAATATTAAAAAACAAATACTGCAAATTATTTAAAATTAAAAACTATCATTAAAATCAATAAAAACATTTTATAATTTAAAAACATTTATTTTTATTATAAATCATAATTTTAAAAAAAAACGTATAGGCCTAGTAGTCATGAAGATGCTGAATGAACAGACAGCATTGTGGTACATCGGATGTATAGTTTGACGCCACTGTAAGACACGAGGTCAACAGTAAGGTCACACTGGTTCATCCTGGCACCATTCACAGTGCCATCTGACTCAGGTTATTACTGGCAGAGGAGTTTTATCGGGTATCATGCTGATACCATCTGGGGCAGATCTGGGCATGTCTGGAACAATACAACTCACCTATGCAATCATTTTTCATTTTTAACACTAATACACACACATCTACAGTTAAGTCTATCCCTGGTGAGAAAGGACAAAAAACCCTTCTGGATTGGAGTTTAACCTCTAGCTGGAGCACACACCTGTGCCCTGAGTCTGCGGGTGTGATGCTCTAATGGTTATGAATCGGAGCTGCTGCTAACATAAAGACAGTAGATTCAGTCCAACAGTCACTATAACCACAGACCTGCTCCATCACTATCCTACCCTTGAGAAAAAAAAAACTTCACCCCTGAATTGCTGCTAAAAGACTGTCTCTACAGTTTTTTTGGATGAAAAGTGAGTATTCAGGTCCTTTGGGGAATACAAATATAGCTCTGCTCTAAAACTCAGTGAGCTGCCTACCAGTGTTTTAAGGCATCACAGAAATGCTCTGGGTGTGAAATGTTAAGAATGTACTGCAGTGAGCTATATAATTTAAAATAATATTTTTAATGAATTTTTATAAAAATAACTACAATAAAAAGTAAACAAAATAAAACACAAAAAAATATATAAAAATACACATAAAAACCAAATCAAATAAAAATTTAAAAGACAAATAAAATAAAACACATACAAGATCAAACAGAATGTACTTTACATTTTATAAAAATCTTAAAATAAAAAAAATAAATATAATTAAGATAAGTTAAGCTAAGTTAAATTAAAACTAAGGCACCTCAATAATACCAAAGGAAACATACATATATATATATATATATATAAAATAATCTGAGTTGCCTCAAAGGGTTTCTAAAATTCTAAGACACCTTGTTATTACCATAATTAAAATTACAAATCAAATCAAATCTGAGGCACCCCAATAATGCCAAGAAGACAGAGAACTCAAACAATCAATAAATCAAATCTGAGGCGCCTCAGTGACAAGAAAGGTTGCTGAAATACTTTGTTATGACCAAAAATAAATAGCTCAGATGGAAAGCGAGAATGTGTCTAATGTGAACAGCCTCTCAGAAGGCAGCTGTCAATGTAGAGAGCAGACAGCAGAGCAGCACTAGAAGAGTCTGTGTTTGATACACGATTACCTTGGTTTCTTAGGAGCGTCTCCACATGGCCGGATTCTGATAATTGGGTCTCATATGAGTGACTCATTATAATGTCAGGAAGACACTGTAACCCCTCTCAGTCTCTT